TCTCTCTCTCTCTCTCTCTCTCTCTCTCTCTCTCTCTCTCTCTCTCTCTCTCTTTCTCTCTCTCCAGGAAGCACAAGAAATAGTACATTTGCCCATCTAGTTTCAAATGCTAGGTTGTGGGAAAACCACTCAAGATCCTCTTCCATAATCCAGAAAAAAAATGCAAACTCCAAATCAAGGATGAAGTTCAAAATACTCCATTGGTGCAGCTGCCCACAAAGGGGGTGGGTGCATCCAGTAAGCAAGGAAGGTCCCCTCTTGAGCAGGAGAGGGCACTAGCTTTGCAGTCGGACTGTCCTGGTCAAAACATGTAACACCTGTTGTAATGTGTATTACTTGAGTAAACTTTCATGCACCATTTGAGCACACTGAGAAGCTGGCCCTGGGAGTGGGGGCGCCTGTTCCTCCACTTCAGACCCAAGCATGCTCGTCTCAAAGTGTCCTCAAGGCTCCTTGCCGGGGAATAAGCTGGTCCCCTTGCTGAGTGACAGTGGAGAGAGGAGAGCAGAACAGCTGAAGTTTAAAACATCGTATCCTAGAGAGTGGATGGAGGGCGAACCATCGCCGACAGACATGGCTGTTGTTTATCCCACCAAAGAAAAATGCCTGCAGTGGGAGAGAGAAGCCAGAAGCTCACCCGTGGAGAGAAAGCTGAATCCCAACCCACTCGGACTGCCTCGGCTTCCCCAGTTGCCCCCCCTGCATGTAGTGAATGCCTGATTTGACAGTGCTCTGCTGTCTGCCTTGCGCTTCTATCTGCTACTAGCGATGTATTCGTTTACTTTTGCCTGCTCCGTGCTTAATAAGCTCACTCATTCAAAACTGAAAGCAGAGCTGTCAGATTATCCTCCAGCCCGCACAAAGAGTCTGTGAACCCAAGAAAATCACAAACTGTTAACGAGTTATTTCCCTTGAAGGCCTGTCACAAAGACGACTGTTGGGGGCACATAAGGGTTCTTGAAGAGGTGTTGGCACAACCTGAGTCCTGAACAACTGTTAATCCATTCTTCATCAAAGGTCATACGTTCTGACCTTTTGCATTTGTTCAGTTACCCATTGGATTCCAGAATATATATGGTAAGAAGACACTAAAGAAAAGAAGAAAAGCAGAAAGGGATGGAAGGAATGAGGGATGAAAACTTCGTAAATATATTTAAATTTTGCTTCTAAGTTGCTATAATTTTTTGTCCAGAGTTTTCTTTGAATTCCTCCATTTTAAAAACTGAATTTATAGCCAGTGCAGTGGTGCACACCTTTAATCCCAGCGCTAGAGAGGCAGAGGCAGACAGATCTCTGGTGAGTTTAAGGCCAGCCTGGTCTACAGAGCAAGTTTCAGGACAGCCAGGGCTACACAGAGAAACCTTGTCTTGAAAAGCCAAATCAAAAAATAAAATGAAAGTTGAATTTATGTCAAACTACTATGTTCAAAATGTCTTCCAAACAAATACAACTGAAACAGTTTTCTTGTCTTTATCAGTCTGTCCAATCAAAAGTTGGCTAGCTAACCGATGGGTTTGCTGACTTATAAAAATGACGTGGACTCATATCCAAAAACAGACCAAAGTACAACAGCCGCATGATGGTCCTGCTCAGAGCTAACCCCAGGCTTTATAACTGGAGCCCGACACGATGGGTATGGGCAGACACTCTGAGTCACCAAGGTTGGTGGTGTAGCCAGGTAGGTCAGTGCTGTTGAGCCCAGCTCAGCTCCTTACCAGGAACCATGGAAGCCCCTCATTTACCTCATGGACTTGGCTTAACCCTTGGACATCCCGGAGCACAGAGAGTGTGCCCTAGAAAGTTTCCTGCCGACTGTTACCTTCTTTACCCGACAGAGCTCAGCCAGAGGGAGCAGTGTATGGGAATCCTGGAAGCAGGACTCAGCTTCCAGATTACTAGAGAATCGTCTGTGGCCTGTCTAGCACTATACCCACACAAACTGAGTTGGCCACAACCACACCAGCCTGGCAGAAATGAAGATAGTCTAAAGATATTCTTGTGTCTCTCAACCTATCAGATCACTGAAACAATCAACACAAAATAAATGAGAATTTTCCCTGAAATCTTATCCTGAGAGAAGGAAAAGGTGTCAGCCAGAGGGGGAACTTAACTCTAGGAATAAAAATATTTAGAACTTGTCAGATCACCAAGCAGGATGAGACTACAGCCTAAATAAGGATGGGACCATGCCTAGCTCAGGACTGCTTAGATGTGCTGATCATATCCCTGGACTTCTAGTTAAACTTAAATCTCACTTCAGGATCCCAAGATTGACTTTGGGAGAAATTGACCTCTTTTTCTTTCCCAATGTGGCCACATAGAGGAAATCTCCCCTTTCTGCCTTTGAGTAGTATTAATTCAGCTGTTTTCATTGGCTTCTGGAAAGCAGATGTGGCTGAGCTTGACTTCCCGGAAGGAGATGCTCTGACCCCCATGTTCGGTAACAATAATATCACATCACTTGAAGCCTGGAGGTGGTTCCTCCCGTCCCACCCCCTTTTGCTCTTTTTAGTAAGAACTTGAAGAAGAAGAGAAGCTTAACCTAAAGGGTAGTTCTGTGGGACTGGTCCAAAGAGTGGAGGGTTGGGGCCCATGCTGTGAAAGATGGTTAAGTTAGAGCCTACAGAGGAACTGAGGGAAGAGGCAAAATGATACAACCTCACTGGGAAGCAGGTGGGCTTCATGAATAAAGAGAACCAGTGAGGGGAGGTGGGGATCTTAATCTGGACATGGTGGAGGTTCAATGGTCACACCACAACTTCCACACATTCATCCACTAATTCACATGTTAGCAAGTTTTGTGACTGGCAACTCAGGAGCCAACTCCCATGATACTGCTGTCTTCAGATTCTCGGATTATGGAACAAGGTAAGACAGATGTGGTGGCCTGTCTCTCGGCCTCAGGTCTCCCCCACCGGAACTTGGAAGCTAGTCTGGATGACATAGGAAGAAGAGAGAGTAAGTCTGGCTGGCTGGGACCCTGACTCTGGACAGAACACTGCATGATGGGCATTTATGAAACTGACCACTCTGAGGGCTGAGTTGCTGCCAGTGTGCTGGCAGGGTGGGCAGTGCTGAGAAGGTGCCAGTGGTGAAGCTCACCTCGCCTTGGCCATGGAAGGAGAAGAAGGGCTATCCCTGACCTACCTAACACCTCCTTTCCACACAGAACACAGGATGGCTTCTTCTTCATGGCCACACCTACTAACTTCTAAGCACTGACCCTATGCATAGCCCTGTGCGAAGGTGCTGGAGAGATGGGCTATGGAGTAGCCCTCTTCCCTCAGCTGCCAGTGTCTCTGTTTATGTGCTGAAGAGTTCATGTGAAAGGGTGACCCAAGATCTCTTTGTTTTTTAATCACAAACCATCCCAAATCAGAAGCCCTGTGAGGACAAATTCCATTCATAGAACTCAGCATGTGACCTGCTGGGCTCATGGGGTGGAGGTTTGGGGAAGAATCTAAACCAACCTCTGCACACCCAAGAAGAAGGGTGTTCAGTTACCCTGGTAGGGCTTCATGGGTAGGGGTGACTTTAAGAAACAGGACGTGTCCTGTGACCAGAGCTGGGAAGGACTTTCAGATGGAGAGAACAAGATGACCAAAATGGTGTGACTAGGAAAACCCTGAGGGATTTTTGCCACTAAAGGCAAAAGGGGAAGTCCGGTATCATAGCTTTGGGCAGGCCAGGCAGAGAGGCATCTGTCATCTCAAACCCGCTTGCCCATGGCCCTGGTGACACCTCGTGTGAGTCATCTTTTAGGTGTGGCCAGCCTATGCCCTGAAGGAGGTTGAGCAGCCCTGGCCTCTACCCACTAGATGCCAGTAGCAGTCCTCCTCCAGCTGTGACAACGGAATGTGTCTCCGGGCACTGTCAAGTGTCCCCAGAAGGCAAAAATCATCCTGGATTGTGCCTACTATTCTAAGAAATGGCAATGTGCACAGGCACTCGGGGACAGAGGGACCTCACTGAGGATTGCCTATGGAAGTCATACAGGGACCACTACAGTGTCTTCAGACTCTGGGCCAATGCCCGGCACACAGTAGGTCCTTGGTAAAGTGAGAGAGACAAACATACTCTTCCCAAGTGCACATTCTATCTCTAGTCAGCAAAGCCAGGCCCCTGTCAGGCTACTGTCCCTTGGGCTGGGCAGCCACAGTGGGCACCACCTCAGGGGCCAGGCCATGCTGGGTGGCTGTTTATCTGCATGCCCAGGGCTGCCTGCTGGGCGTATTAGAGGCCATGAAATAATGATGAAGCCTAGGAGGGGTAATTAAAAGCCACAGTGACATTGATCTGCTGAGATTTCTGAAAGAGCCCAGAGCACACGGGGTGACTCTCCTTCTTACCTCATGCAGGCCCAGCCTGATTGGCCCCCTGGGCATTGCTGGGGCCATGGAACCTCACCTGTGGCCAGGAGACTCCCAGGGCAGCAGTCAGGCTGGCTTCAGAAGCTGTGCAAAACAGGAGGCCTGGGCCTGGGGGGCAGCCCAGCTGCTATCCTCTGCCCTGGGAAGGCAAGGACTGGCTCGCTGTTAAAGACACAGCTCCCCATTCACTGTCTCAAAGCTTCATCTTCTCCCCTGCAGGTCCAGAGGCTTAGCCAGGCAAAGAATCTGATGTGTTTCAGAGCCTCGATGAGGCAATATCATCTTTGCCCTTTAGGGCATGGAGCCTGCATGAAAGATTGCTGTGTGAAGGCAAAGGGATCCCTTGACCTTCTGCCCAGGTCAGAGAACTAAGCATGTTCTCAACACTTATTATATTTTTACAGTAATTGTCTCTTTGGAGCAGGACCCTGATTAGAACCATTTTTTCCTAGATGTTATGCTGATGATCAGCTATCTGCTTTGTTGTTATTAACTATATGGAGTCTGTGTGTATGTGTGTGGGGGCCATTGCACATGCCTCTGTGTGGTGTGTATGGTGTATGTGTGTGTGTGTGTGTGTGTGTGTGTGCTCGCGCGCACGCGTGAGCACGCGCATGTAATCCTTCATGTGCATGTACACATACTCTTGTATATGCACAAATGCAGGCCAGAGGACAACCTTAGGTGTCATTCCTTGGGTATAACCTTCCTTTTGAGATGGGATCTCTCATTGATCAAGAACTCATCAGTCTAGGCTGGTCAACTAGAAAGCCTCAAAGACCCACCTGTCCCTGCCTCCTCTCTGGGCCTGGGATTACAAACCCACACACTATACTTGGCTTTTTGTTTGTTTTTGTTTGTTTTATTTAGCACAGTTTCTGGGGATTGAACTCAAGTCCTTTTGTTTGGAAAGCAAACACTTTACCAAAGTGGCCATTTCTCCAGCCATGTGTTAAGGTGATTTTACTGATGGAATTTAGTCAAACAAAACTGAAAAAAAAAAAAAACAAAAACCATGAATTTCTACCAGAGTCTCCCCACTGGACATTTCTGTGGTCCTGAGCAAATCCTGTGAGCACCCCACATATTTGTGATCCTGCAGATTATCAGGCCAAGAGGGACCAACACTGTAAGCCAGCAAGGGCTCAAACAGATCCATATTTGCCAAGTCATGATCCCGAGAACTGGAAACTCAGTCTCTCTGGTGCTTTGTGGTAGTCTTGCCCACAGTTTTGATCTTACCACCTAGCAGTCCCGTGAAGAGGATATCAGCAGCTCACTCCACAGATGGGGAAACTGAGGCAGTCCAAACCAGTCTGTCAGGGAGATTACCAGGACCCTCACTGCACAGGGGGCCTGTCTTTTGTTGTTGTTTCATTGTGTTTTTGTTTGGTTTTGTCTTTTTAAAATTCTAACTGTCAGGATCAGAGTGTAGCAAGCAGGTGGCTCCTCAAAGCCCAGCAACGACAATCTTCCTTCCTGCCTGCCCCTGAACTTGCAAGCACCATACCTCTCTGCAGAATCACAGCCTCTGGCCTCCCTTGGTGACAACCAGCCTGTGTTCTGCCCTTTCTTCTGCCACGTGGGTGGGGGATGGGAGCTGCACCTCTGATCTCCACACAGTGAAGGGTGAAGGAAGTCGAAACTCTATCAGATGGGAGGTGTGACAGGTCTTGTTAGGCCTTGAGAAATTAACTGCCCTCCCACAAGGGCAGAGTTGGGCACCTGCTCCAAGGTCCTATGTCCCAATGTGAAGGTACTCCTTCTGTCCTGGGAACTGCCTGGAGGGGGATGAATCTCGGAGAGACGTTCTGAGTTAATGTCTTGGGGAAATCTCAGTCCTGTCACCTCCAGAGCACCCCCCTCCCTGTTCCTAGCTTAATGTGTTAGTTTTGACAGCGGGCTCCATGCAGACGGAAGGCACAGCTCTAAGACACTCAGCGTGATCATGCATTATTCACTAGACCTGGGTGGGGCCTGGCTTGAGCAATTAGAGTTAGCAATTATTGAGTGTCCAGGGTATATAGTCCTACTTATTTAATGTAAATCTAACGCAATAGGCAGGCATAAGGGTCTTCCAGGTCACCACAATCTACCATTACTAGACACTGTCTGTCCCTCAGTCCCTGGGTTGATGTCTGATTTCATCCCAGCTGCCTTCTACTGAAGGAGATCAGGGTGACCAGTGCAGACCAAGGCCAGATGATCCCTAAGACAACAATACTTGAAATAAAGTCAGCTAGGCCAGTGGAGGGTCTGCCTCCCCCTGCTGTGAACAAGGGCTGTCTCTGCTCTGTACACACCTTCCAATTCTGAAGGGCTGGTCTATAAACAGAAGCTGCCCGTGCCATGCCCCTGGGTTCTCGTCTATGCAATAGGAGCAAAGAGCGTTGTTCTGATGCCTCTCAGTCTGTGCCAGGCCTATGATCTCAGAGCCAAGTGGTTTTCAGAGTTCCTTATCATTCCTCTGTGGGTCAAAGCTGGCCTGAATAGTTAAAACTCCTTTAAGTTGATGGCTAAACCTCCCTTTCCCCTCATGGTCAGAACAGACATGTTCACTGCTGCACAGGTGGAAACATAGTCTGTCCCTAGGTACTTCTTTGACCCAGCAGTCATTACACAGTGTAGTTATGAGACACAGTTCTGACTTATAAAATACATCCAGCTTTAGGGTTCCATGAAAGAGACCAAGGGTAGGGGGTCATAGATCAAATCTGTAGTCCCAGTTCAGAGCTATGTCCCTTCAGCAGCTTTGGGCAGTGGCACTCATGGCAATTTGACAAATAGAGTGGCTTTTGACAGCAGTTCAGGTCCATGCAACTGTGGTCTGTGATGTCCTCAGCCGACTGAGAACTCCTGGGAGATCGATGTTGCCCAGTGTCAGGAGAAAGCAGAAGCCTCCTCCTCCTGGCAAGCCTAGCCTGAGGCTGCTGTGGGTGTGGGCATACAGTGAAGATTCTTGAGTAAGGGGTACTCTGGGGGGGTTCCCCACTTTCTAGACATTTTTGGATGACCCCTGTGCAAAGCGGCTAAGAATGTTTCAACTCTCCAGAGTTTGTAGTTGTGTGCTTGGAGGAGGATTGGCCCCTGGGAACTGGGGCTGGGGAGGAGGTAAGAGGGAATTAAGACCTGCTGAGGCCACAGCAATTAGCACAAGCCACCAAGACCTTTTTGCTGTGGTAATTGGCTGTCCCTGGCCTGGTGCTACAGGGGACACTCTGGCCTCTAGGGGAGCACTCAGGGACGTCGCCATTCACAAAGGACTCAGGGCTGACCAGGAGCACTAAGTAAATAAGATGGCACTTGGCCTCCAAAGGGTGAGGGGATGATGTAAGAAGGACTCCCTGTGTGCAGGTGGCAGGCATGTCGGAGAAGCAGTGCCTGAGGCACTGAGCCCTGGCGTCAGACGTCCACTTCTATACTCACAGCTGGGCACACTTTTCTCCTCCTCTTTCGCTCTCTGCCTTCATCTTGGTGTCTCTTCTGCTTTGGGACTCTCTTTAGCTTCCCCCCTCAGGTTTTCTTCATCCGTGACGTGGTGGATTTTTCTTCCATTCTTGTCAGATGCACACTCAAGGCTGCTGAGCTGCCCTCCACGAATACCAGTGGAGGCACAGCAGCTGGGGCTTCCTGCTTCCCAGAAAAGCCTGGGATCTCTCCAAAGAGAAGGCGGCTCGCAGCACAGTTCAACATGGGCCTCTATTCAGTGAATGTTTGGTGGATCACCTATGACCTGCCCCAGCACTGCAGGCAGAGCAAGAAAGTTAATGCAGTAATGGAGTTGGAGATGACAGCAGAGACGTTAATAAGGGAAAAGTGCTGTTTCAGGAAATAAATATCATGAAAAAAAAAAATAAACTAAGGCACCGAAATAGACCCTGTAGGGAGCAATAGAGAGCTACATGGGGAGGACTGATGGACAAGGGGAATTAGAGACATCCCGAGGGGAACATGCCAGCCAGGGGTAACAGACAGAGCAAAGGCCCTGTGGTAAAAAGAGACTGGGTGCATTTAAAGACCAGCAAAGAGCAGTTAGAGAGTGATAACATGACAGGAAAGGGTTCTGGCTTTTCTATTGGATCTCTGCAAAGGGACAGAGTACAGTCACACAATTTCATAGAAATTTTAAGAGAGTTACTGAGCTGAGATTCTAACTAGAATCTGTAAGAAGTACATGCTGTCCCACACTGTCTTAGTAGGCAAGACTAGAGAACATCTCAGATGGAGCCAGGTGGTGGTGGTGCACACCTTTAATCCCAGCATTCAGGAGGCAGAGGCAGGTGAATCTCAGAGTTCAAGGCTAGCCTGGTCTACAGAATGGGTTCCAGGACAGCCAGGGCTACACAGAGAATATAGAACAGGCTCTGAGCTACAAGTAGCTCTTAAGTCTGTCTAGGGAAAGCTCCCACAGGCCTCTGAAGACAGAAGCAAGCACTACAGCTGTGGTCTAGTGGTCCAGGCGCCCTTCTGTGGGCACCAAAGCAATCATCCACTTGTAGTGAGGGAATGAGATCAGAGGGGAGACGTTTCTTCTTCAGTGGCCGTAGCATGGAAACAGTGAATCTAAATCAAAGTCTTCCCATCTGCCATGGTACATGAGGCTGGGGTAGAAATGTAAGGTACTATTAGGAAACTAAAGGAAATGGAGATCAGGGAAAATGACTCTTTTGACCTAGTACTTGAGACCTTTGAGGCCTTTTAAATAGAAGGACAGGACAGGATGTGTGACCAGGTAGTACAAGAATAGGCAGACAAAGCTTGTTTTCCACAAAGGGCAAGACATATTTTACCCTTGAACCCGATTCAATGTGTTGATTGTAAAAATGGGATTTTTGAAAGACTCATTACATGTATTTTTGTTACACGGGACTTCTGACTTCATCAATGAGCCATCTACTCTTTAGAACTTGCACACACACACACACACACACACACACACACACACACACGTCTAATATGAGACCACTAATGGAGTGAACAGTCTCACCCAGTAGACAGTCCCATGAAAAAGTTTAGGACTACGTAAAAAGGAGAGCTTCCGTACTGAGCATTAGGGATGAATTTTGAGGCAGAAAATTCACTCATTGGCCTACGCTTTTTGATTTTCTCTCACTTTCCCTTCTTTATTGAGCAAAAATTTTTCTGAGTCCCTATTGGGTTTCGAATCTCACATTGGCTGCGCCATGTTTTAATAACCAACAAACACTGGTCCTCACAGTTGCC